AGATTATGTTTTCATAAAAATAAAGAAAACTAATGGAACAAAGCGGTAGGGGTGTGTCCTGTGATAGGAAGAATTCTGTGACCAACCAAGGATACCAATTTGAGATACCTTCTACCCAAATGATTATATCAAGCAGGCAATCAAATCCTCACATTTAGAGTTCAGTAAGGAAGACTGGGTTGAAGAGAGACGTTGGCAGTGAGTTGGAAACAAGGTACTGCTGTTGTTAGGTGTCATTAAGTTTGCTCTGACCCAGAGTGACCTCATGCACAACAGAATGAAACACTGCCCAGTCCTGAGCCACCCTCACAGTTGTTATATTCAATCCATCTTGCTGAGGGCCTTCCTCTTTTTCTCTGTCCCTCGACTTTACCAAACATGATGTCTTCCTCCAGGGACTGGTCTCTCCTGCCAACACGTACAAAGTATGTAAAATGAAGTCTCGCCATCCTTGCCTCTACGATGGCCTCTGGCCATATTTCTTCAAGACAGATCACTTTGTCTTTTTAACAGTCTATCATGACTTAAATATTGTTCTAAAGCATCACTATTTAAATGCATCAATTCTTACTTGGTCTTCTTTATCCAATGCCCAACTTTCATCTCCATATGAATCAACTCAAAACACCATGGCTTGAGTTCATGCAGTTTATCAGGGGATCTCCAGCTATGTATGTTCCAAATACTGCTCCTTCCTCTTTTCCTTCCAATTTTTGCATTCTAATTGCCAAAAATTATCAATACATCTTGATTGCATGTTTGATCAATTTCAGACAGAGGAAGTTGGTGAAATTCCTCAATTTCTTAATCACTAGGTTTAAAGTTTGGTGCATAAATTTGAGTAATACTTTTATTGACTGGAATTCCGTGTACGGAGTTAGATCAAAGAATCATACTTCAAGACAGACCTTGAACTGTTGTTTGATGTGGAATGTAATGGCATTCCAATTGAATCTGTCATTCTCAGCATAGTCAATCATATGACTATATGGTTGCCGGATTCAAAATTGTCAATATCAGTCCATTTCAGCTCACTAATGCCCAGGATATGTATCCTCATGCATTCCATTTCATTTTTGATAATTTCAAATTTTCCTAGATTTGTACTTTGTACATTCTAAGTTCTGATTACTAATTGATGTTTGCAGCTGTTTCTTCTCATTTTGAATTGTGCCCTGTTGGCAAATGTATGTGTAGAAGGCTTTATTCTCACAAGCTTTAATCCATTTACATCATTATAGTTGACTCTACTTTGAGAATGCAGCTTTTCCTCATTCATATTTTGAGTGCCTCTGCGACCTGAAGTGCCTGATATCTTCTGGCACTATCTCTAACAATGTTGTGCTGCTATTTAGGAGGATTTTAGTATCTGACAATGTTCTGCAGCTATCCATTAGGTTTTCAGGGCCTAGTTTCTCTAAAAATAAAAAGCCTATTACTTCTTCATAGTCTGTTCTTAGACTGGAAGCTCTGCTGAAACTTGTTCACTCGGGGTGACCTTTCTGGTGTTTGAAATACCGGTGATATAGCTCCCAGCATCATAGTAACACATAAGCCACCACAGTATGACAAAGTAACATATAAGTGGTGGAATAGAAAACTATGCATCCCTAAAACACAGTGAGGAAACTACAAAATACTTCATGATAATGTCAATCACAAAAGGACAAATATTGTAAGAAATAACCCCTACAAGGATAAACACCAAGACAAGGGCAATCATGTGTTTTTAGGTCAAGCAATCCTCTAATCTGGTCTCCCAAGCAATGAGGTCATGTGCCTCCCAAATGCTCATCAACCATATCACCTCCTTATTTGTATATCTTAAAAATCACTTTGACAGCTGATCTCACCTCAGCTAGGGTCAGTTTCTCATGCTGGGGAGAGAGAGAGAGAGAGACCAATCAGTTCCTACCATGTAGCATTCGTCCATGGTCATCACAAATCAGCAGATGCTCCTACAAGATGTTTAGTGAATCTTAATCAAAGTTCAAGTTTGGGGGTGTGGAGAGAAACACATGTCTATCTCAGAGAAGGTGATTTCACTTCTGTTGGCAGGTAATCCATGAGGAGCAACCTGCCACTGGAGAAAATGCTTAACATGATTCTTATAGACCTTACATGGGAGAATACATCTGGAATTATGTTCACAATCTGGCACTTTTGATTGAACTTCTATCCGGTCCTTGGTGACTCAGGCTGTGCATTAGGGACAACTGGAACTTTAGACTTTGCCCCTTCAAGGTGCACAATAATCTTAATTGGCCATACCAGAAGGATCCAATTTAGAAACACCACTAAGTGAAGCTGGACTTTACCTTAAACACACCTACAGCAGATTGAAAAGAGCTTAAGTCCTTGGATTTAAGGCTGAAAGACTCTCGTGTGAGAAGAAGCAGATGACTATTATTCCGAGGTTGTGGATTTGGTTCAAATTTCTTGCATTGAGGGTTGCTCTAGAAAAGTCAAGACTTCCATATATCTGATATTTTCATACTCTGCTCCTTTATGATCTATCTTGGTCTAGCAGCCATAATTCTGCCTTAGTGAATGTTATTAAAAGTTCTGCCTTATTGCTGACCCTCATTGTTTACACAAATAGCGTCCAGACACTTAAATTTTTTCAATCTGTACAAATCAGTGATCCCTGTATTTTAGTCTAAAAAGCTGTCTCATATATGTACATTTTCTCAACAGTATTTTAAATTCTATACCATTGGCTAAATTAATACTGTCAATAGAATCACCATATGTCTTATGGGTATGATTTATACTGTTTCCCAATAAAATGTTAATGATGTCTCTAAAGTGTACCAGGAAAAGATATAAACCACAGATAGCTACATCATTAGATTTTGAGCTTGCACTGAATATAGCCCTAATCCAAGATCAATTAGTTCTTATGATGTGCCCTTGCACCATACTTTCCCTCATGCAGTGATCACTGATGACATAGGTGCTATTGAAAAGTGTGGTGAAGAAATCAGATGGTGTCTCGCTATCATAAAGAATAGCATCTGGGGCCTTAAAGGCTTGTCTTAAAACACGCAGACATGCTTGAAACAAGCAAACAAGCCTACATGATCCAAGGATTGTAAACAAAATCCAAGAACGGAGGAAGGAATTATATTAGAGTTTAAGTGCTAAGCTCCCAGTTTACAGAAGGCTATGGATGGCAGAGTGCATGGATCACCAAAAGGACAAACTGATTTGTCTAGGAAGAAGTGCAGCCAGAGGGCTCCTTAGAGGCAAGAATGAAAAGACTTCATCTTATATACTTTGGCCATGTTGTCAGGAGAGACCAGTCCCTGAAGAAGGACAGCATGTTTGGTAAAGTAAGGGGGCAGCAAAAAAGAGGAAGGCCCTTACGGATATGCATTGACACAGTGGCTACAACAATGGGCTCAAACATAGGAACAATTATGAGGATGGTACAGGACTTGGCAGTGTTTCGTTCTTTTGTGCATAATGTTGCCATGGGTCAGAACTGACTCAGTATCACCTAACAACAAGGATGACAGTGAAAGTCCAAAATTCATGGACAGGTCCCCAAGGTGGATTAAGCCTCCAGTGAAGTCCCTCTGACCATGGATCAGGGATGTGAATAGTCTTGCTATCAGACAAAATGCATGGGAAAGTGTATTAATGCAGATGTAGTTACATTAAATTTACAAACTTATCATATTTTTCTCCCTTTTGACCCATTTTATATTTGTTCTACATTTTATTATTTTCTGCTTTCGTTTGGATTGAGGATTTTTTATTGGTGGTGTTTCTTTTTTGGGGGGTGGGGTGGGGTGGGGTATGTTTTTCTGTATATGAAATCCAGAATAGGAAAATCTATAAAGATAGTAACTGAATTAATAGTTTCTTAAAGCTGTGGCAGGGAGGTTGCAGGAAAATGAGGAGCTTATAACAATGAGTAAATAAATGAATAAATTGTAAAATTGATTGTGGTGAAGATTTCACAACTTCTTTAATATGTGAAAACCATCAAATTGCATGGTATGTGAATTATATATCTACAGTATAGTTAAAATTAAAAAATAAAGAACAATAAGGCAAGAATCTACTGAGGGAAGTATAAAAAAACACACACACAAAAATGTGCCATCCTTTACAGGATGAATAAGTAAACAGAAAATAATCACGTGTCATACAAAACTTTGGGTTATTTCATAGTCCCATTAATTTTAAACACGTTCCTGAAAAATAGTACAGCTAATTTATTTACACCATTTGAAGGTGAAACCATGAACCAGTCTAGACAACAATCACACAAAGCACAGGTAGCAAAGGTCCTTTACAGAGTGCCTTCACCAAGTCAGTAGAAAAATAGAACTGAAAGATAATGTAATTTCTCCAAACTTTTTGAAGCTCCCTCTTTAAGACCACTCTTTCAAGGGCATTAACGCATAACCTCAATCGTAGAGGTTAAGTATGGAGAGTGCAAATTAATTATTTTCATATCCTTTAATACTCATTTAGTTCACTTGCTTTTAATTTTTGAGGATAAAAATTCTACCAGAGTTTTGGTAATGGCACAATAGGAAAACATGTATTATTTTCAAGGTAAAATGTTAGTATTCTAGCATTTTAATAAAATATTTTCTAGAGACTAGTAACTAACATTTCTTAAGACAACCTTGCTGCTAATGTACACTTAGAATTATGTCTTTGCCACAGTCAACTATGCTGTTTCACTATATAACGGAAAATGCTAATAAGATTATAAGAGACAATTTCAGTTTCTGACTGTGTAAATGTGCTGAAATATTAGTGAGGATATGATTTCTCACACTTTGGCCTTTTGATGAAACACCTTTCCAACACTAGTGTGTCATCTTATTCTACAATTTCACACATCAGCTAACAGTGTATCTACCCTGAGAGCCCAGTTTCACATTGCACTAATGAGTAATGTGAGTAGAGAAATCTGAACCTTGTTAGCAATTGTGAAGCCTCCAGGGATCCTGGATGCCGAGGATTTTCATACTTACCACCACCAAGTCTGCCCTGAGGACCCTGGCTGCAGCCGTGATGAAGTCCCCCATCAGCATGGAGAAGCCAGGCAAGCCCAAGGAAAAGAAGCGGGGTGGGCAGTGCCTTATGATGGTATTTAAGATATCCTAAAAATAGAAGATAAGAATCCAAACTGTAATTTTCAAGGGAAAAAACCCCCTAAATTGTCAGTTCATTCATACACATGACCACTGTATAATCTAAGAGAACACAGAAATTTTATTGTGAAAGGGGTACTGGGAGATGAATCAATCTAGACCAGTGTTCTCATTTTACAGTTAAGAAAATGCAGATACCAAGCTATAATGTGAATTGTCTGAGATGTAAACCTTGGCAGTGGAGCTAGACACTAAAGGCGAGTTCCTTGGACAAACTGTGGGAAAAGGGAGGTACATAGAACTTTCAAATATCTATCACTCAGTCTATTCTATTTTTAGCTTTCTGTCCATTTCAGTTTTCAAAGTTCAAAGCACACTGTTAGATATAAATATCTTAAAGAAAGTGAAAGAGATGAAAATGTGCACCCCAGGTTATTTTATGTGCCAAGAAAATGGGAATATATGTTGTGCTATGGTAATGTTGAGCAAACCCTGGTAGGGGTAAGGGTTATGTGTTGGGCTGCTAACCCACCAGATGAGCAGTGTGAAACCAGGAAAGACAGAGCTTTCTACTCCCATAACGAGTCAGAGTCTCAGAAAAACTCAGGGGACAGTTCTACCTTGTCCCATAGGGTTCGCTATGAGTCGGGAGTCAACTCGATGGCAAGGAGTTTGGTTTTGTTACCAGTAATGTTCTCAGGTACTTCTAATGATTATGGCTCTAAGTACAAGTGTGATGGCAAAGCACAATTAGAGTCTTTTGTATGGTGCACAAGGTAAGGTGAAGCCTACTATGTGCCTGGATACTTCATATTCCTGTGTCTGAAATGGCCTCTCATTTGGAGCTGGCTGGCTGGTCCACTGCTTTCCAGATCTATTTTGACTAAGGTGATGACTCCATTTCTACACGTGGTAGACTACGGGCCACTCTTAGATGGTTTTCCTTTCATCTACAGCTAATTCATCTATGCAAGTGTGGGTGTACAAGGGGAATTAGTAAGAAATCACAAACTCAGTTATATAACTTACAGTTACATAACCTATACTCAGAAATAAAAGTCACTGTCATGGAGTTGATGCTGACTCATAGCAACCCCACAGGACAGGCTAGAACTGCCTTTGTGAATTTCTGAAACTGTAACTTTTCACGGGGGTAGAAAGCCCCATCTTTATCCCATGTAATGACTGGTAATTTCAAATTGTGGCCTTTGTGGATACAGTCTGAATATATAAGAAGCAAAATATGAAAAAAGACCTGGCGTCTTCGTTTTCAGTGTGATTATCTGAAAAAATCTCCTTAAATAATCCTGATTCAATTCTATTAAATTAGAACAAACTAGTAGTTATATGCTAAATTCTAGCCCTTTGTAATAAAAATAGCTTTACTACGTAGTATTCTTAAAACATAATTCTCATTTAATCACAAAATATTTTTCTTAATACTTATTTTTTTCCTTAGCTGCTGAACAGATTTACTTTCTACAAATCATGTTTTTTATATCTATTGAAATGACTGCAATATTTAATCCAGTAAACTCTCTTAAATATTTTAGCAAATATTAATTTAATGTTTTAGCATTAAACAGACTTTTTCCTGTACCGCAAGTAAAATGGGTAATAAAAATATTATTTTTCAAGGAAGGAAGAGAGAAAGGAAAGAAAAACCTCTACCATGCTTTTTTCAAGTTAATGTTTAACCCTGTTTTAATCTCGTACTTTGATACACTTCAGGGTCTCTATCAGCTAAGGCAAACACTGTAAGGGGGTAAGCAGATGGATGATGCAGTTTAGAAAGTGTGTGGTACACTCATGCTCTACGAATAGAACAAAAGATCCACCTTTTTCATAATTAAGCCTCTGATTAATGCCCTGGGCTCCTCACCACACACCTGTAATTACTCACAGAGGTACGCATTGTGCTGGGCCGAGGCTCAGAATATCAGGCACCAAACTCTCCAGCAGCAGATGGAAGCACATTTCTGTTGACATATGCTGCAATGAAAGGATTCATGCAAACCTGCTATCAAGGTAGCAGAATGCTGTGCATTTGAAGATTAATAATGCAAACAACCGTGATGTTAACTTTGTTATGCTTATATTAATTCCATCTGCTGGCTGAGGAACTAAACCCTGAACCCAGTAGGTTTTAAAAATCTTTAGCACATACTTAAATCTAGCCCTGTTTCACTATTGGAATTTAGAGTTTTAATTGAAATATTTTTTTCTGGGATGTTTGTGTGAAATTTTTTAATTCGTTAAAGTCAGTTTAAAAATGGTATTCATTTGGCTTTATAAGGGTCATATGTGAAAAGGTAACAATTTTCTAACACAGGGAATTCAGGAAAAAATGACTAAATTTTTACTGAATCTAGAGACAGCAGGTATGTGTGTGGCCAGGATAAAGTCACACAGACCACGCCTTCCACCTACCCCCACCCCCACCCCTTTTCAACCCACTGGACCTAGGCCAGCCACTTTAACCTAACCTGTTTCTACAGGCAAGAAGATCAGAAAGAGAGGGCAAAATAACAGATGGCTGCCCTATGCTTCCCTGCCACCCACACGAAGCCAGAGCCTCAAGGAGAACCAGCGCAGGCCAGCAGTCACAAGGGAAATATAGCACAGGCTGGGCTAATGTGGGGGCTAAAAGAGTCAAGTACACAGCCATTCAGCAACACTATAGCCATATGCCTGCTTGTTTGCTTATCCATGCTGAAATGAAACAATGCAAAGTTTTCTTTAATCTCTGTGATAACTTTTACAAATGAGAAATAACTGTATGTTGCTCACAGGAGAGCAGCTGCACATCCCTATAGATGTACACAAAAGTGTTATGATTAGATATTCTTGTTCAAAGCAAAATCCTTTTTCTGCTTTCTCCTCAATACATTAAGATCACTTATAACTGGAATCTTTGGCGAAAAGAATCAAAATCAATCCAAAGAGTTTGGAAGTGTCTTCCCAAACTCCCGAGCTTTATGTATAGGCAATATAGGATATTTCTCAAACTTCATTCATTCACGTACAAGCTCCCACTTTCTGTCATATGCACGTTCAAAGTGAATATAATTTACTTAATACACTACTTAAAATGACTCATTCTTAAGAATTTCTTTAAGGTACCCTGAAAACAAGCCTACCTCTCATATATAGAAAATAACCCTTCAATAAATACAGTGGCAGTAAACAGTGAGACTGGATTTTTGCAAAACACAATTAGAAGCTCTGGGCTATTCTCCTTGTTGAAAAGGAGAAATAAAACATAGAGGTGTTGAGAGACGTTCTTATACCAATTCCAGCTAGCTCCTTGTGAGCGTCACAAAAACTGGAGTAGGATAAGGGGAACATGCTCATTCTGTGATTTGATATTGTTCAGAGTTGTGTATATGACCACTAGTTGGCAATGCCCCTGTACTCAAATTCTGACATGACAGAAAGAAATCAAGAACACGATGGAAAGCAATATGCAACTATGGGCAGACATATAATGCTTAATGTGATGATAACCTGCTTAAACAATTGCATCTAATGGGATAGTAGATATGAAAATGTGCCTTTATAAATAGAAAAAAAAGAACCTAAAAAATAGCAAACACAATGACATGAGGGAAAAATTCCCAAAAGGGAAGATTTTGAAATGTGTTACTTTCTAGAACTTATTTTGCACATTTACTGTGCAGAATTCAGTCAACTATTATTTTGCTATTATACAGAAAGATTATTTTTAAACAGTTCAAGGTGGCACAAATAAGCCTATTCCATTACATAGAAATTATAAAACTCTGACATTAAAATTAAAATAAATAATATCCTTAGCTTTACAGCAATTAGCCATAGCATATGTAATATTAAGGCAAATGACAAAATTCTAAATATTATATTTTTATATTTTTCATGTTCTATTTTTCTAAATAGTTCTATATAAGACTGATATCAGGATTAGTTTCTTTCCATACTCTAACCAGACTAAACAGTCAATGAAGATGAGGTTTAATATAAGAATCTAGCTTATTTTTATAAGCTGACCAGGGTGTGGTTTAATGCTTTCAATTAAAGGAAATAAAATGTATGCTACAAAATGCTGTGATAAAGGGAATAGGCCATCAAAATAGTATTTCTCCTCATGCTTTTGGGTAAAAGTCCATGTACATTCTAAGGTTATAATTGTAAATCTGCAGCTTATCAGAAGATTCAGTTTTATGAGAAAGTAACTGGTGAGAACATCTGTCTCTTATCACTGATCTTGAAAAAAAAAATCAGGAAATTCAAATAAAGGCATGTTATTTCCTCCCCTACAGAGCACAGGTCTATAAACACAAACCACATTCAGCCTGGTAAATGAATTGCTTTAATTGAATGTTATGTACACAGTAAATGGAAAAAAACATAAGTGATAAAAAAACCTTATGGTGATGTCAACAGAAATTGGTTTATTCATGTTGCTCAGTGTTGTTTCTTTGGTTCTCTTATAATTGACCTTTAGGACGATAGATGTGTAAAATAATTTTGTTTATTATGGTTCCAAATCTTCCAACAATTACACAAAATGAAAATTTTAAAGGAAGGGTTCATTTGGGAAGCATTTCCATTGTTTACATAATTGCACAGCTATAATTTAGAGCTCATGTTGTTATGGGAAATAAAAAAGGGGGGGGCCATTATGGGCCATTTCAATTCAAAATATTGCACAGAAGTATTGGGGAAAATGTTCACTTTAAAGCAGTTTAAAATAGATAAGCCTTGTAAACAAAAACATTTCAATAGAGTATTCTATGAAATACAAATGTTCAAGAAAGTTCCATCCTTCAAATGGTATTAGAAATGTTGCAACTGTACTTTAACACCAATTATATATACATTATTCACTTAATATTTGCTCTCAGCCCAGCAGATGATGGTTGTAACACAATAGCCAGCCATCTGTCTCACTGACTTTCTTTAGTGGACTTATGCCTGCTCTTCCAGAGCAAACAGACCCAGTGATTCACTCCTTCCCCGAGGCCAAACAA